CACTTCTTCATGAACACATCTCCCGGGGCAAGGGAAACAAAAGCAAAAATGAACAAGTGGGACTATATCAAGCTGAAAAGCTTCTGTACAGCAAGGGACACCACCAATAGAACAAAAAGGCATTCTACAGTATGGGAGAATATATTCATAAATGACAGATCCAATAAAGGGTTGACATCCAAAATATACAAAGAGCTCACGCACCTCAACAAACAAAAAGTGAACACTCCAATAAAAAAATGTCAGAGGAGCTGAATAGACAGTTCTCTAAAGAAGAAATTCAGATGGCCAACAGACACATTAAAAGATGCTCCACATTGCTAGTAATCAGAGAAATGCAAATTAAAACCACGATGAGATATCACCTCACACCAGTAAGGATCAACACCATCCAAAAGACAAACAACAACAAATGTTGGCAAGGTTGTGGTGAAAGGGGAACCCTCCTACATTGCTGGTGGGAATGTAAATTAGTTCAACCATTGTGGAAAGCGGTATGGAGGTTCCTCAAAAAGCTCAAAATAGAAATACCATTTGACCCAGGAATCCCACTTCTAGGAATTTACCCCAAGAATGCACCAGCCCAATTTGAAAAAGACATATGCACCCCTATGTTTATTGCAGCACTATTTACAACAGCCAAGAATTGGAAGCAACTTAAGCATCCATCAGTAGATGAATGGATAAAGAAGATGTGGTACATATACACAATGGAATATTATTCAGCCATAAGAAGAAAACAAATACTACCATTTGCAACAACATGGATGGAGCTAGAGGGTATTATACTCATTGAAGTAAGCCAGGTGGAGAAAGACAAGTATCAAATGATTTCACTCATCTGTGGAGTATAAGAACAAAGAAAAAACTGAAGGAGTAAAATAGCAGCAGACTCACAGCACCCAAGAATGGACTAACAGTTACCAAAGGGAAAGGGACTGGGGAAGATAGGTGGAAAGGGAGGGATAAGGGGGTGTGGGGTGGGGGAAAGGGGGTATTATGATTAGCATGTGTAATGGTGGAGCACAGGGAGGGCTGTACGACACAGAAGACAAGTAGTGATTCTATAGCACCTTACTAAGCTGATGGACTGAGATTGTAATGGGGTATGTGGGGGGGGACTTCTTGATGGGGGGAGTCTAGTAAACATAATGTTCCTCATGTAATTGGGGATTAATGATACCAAAATAAAAAAAAAAAAACAAAGGCAAAAACCTCTTGGACATAAATATGAGCAACTTTTTCCTGAGTACATCACCTCAGGCAAGGGAAACAAAAGCACAAATTAGCAAATGGGACTACACCAAGCTAAAAAACTCATGTACAGCAAAGGACACCATCACACAACAAAAAAGCATCCTACAATATGGGAGAATATATTTGTAAATGATGTATCTGACAAGGGGTTAACATCAAAAGTATATAAAGAACTCACACACCTCAACACCCAAAAAACAAATAACCTGATTAAAAAATGGGTGAAGGAAGTGGTAAAGATATCTCAAGATAAATGCTGGGCATAGAAGCCACAGAGCATAAATCTGCAAAGAAGTAAAAAGCTAACCTTTTCAAACAATATGGCTTCTCTCTCCCTTACCAACTTTACATCTCCCTGTATGGCCCCGGAAGATGACTGGTTAGCCAGAGACGGGTAAGATTCCTCAAGGGAGGAACAACCTAAGACAGGCACAGTCGCAGGGGGGCCATCAGGTGAGAATTTGGGGATCAACAGAGGTGAGGCTCAGAACCTCACCCCCCCTGCTTTGAGAGAAATCTTCTGCATCCGTGGATGTCTTGCTGCCCTTGTCTAGCCTGGATTAATACTTAGTCCATAGGCACACACCTGATCATCTGATCATCTACATTTGCCCTCTTACAGCACTAAACTATGTTTTCTACCTTTATCTTGCATCTACCTACCACTTCAGCATTTTATTAAAAATAAAAATAATAATAATAATAGGAGAAATGTGGGATCAACATATAAATCAAGTACAAAAATCAAACGAATATTCATATTTGACCTGATTGTTTATAGGTCATAATGCGTGATCAAAACCGAAAGTTTCTGTGATGACTGCCCTTGTACTGTTCACCATGTAAGAACTTATTCACTATGTAAGAATTTGTTCACCATGTAAGAACTTGTTCATTATGCTTCAGAAGATTGGAGACTGACAAGAATTAGGCTTGAGATGGATTAATGATTGTGCATTGAGCATTGACTCCCTATACAGAATTTTACTGTTGTTAACAACCATTTGATCAATAAATGAGAGATGCCCTCAAAAAAAAAAAAAATGGGTGGAGGATATAAGCAGACTACTCGCCAAAGAGGAAATTCAGATGACCAACAGGCACATGAAAAGATGCTCCACATCACTAGTTATCAGGGAAATGCAAATTAAAAACACAATGAGATATCACCTCACATCAGTAGGATGGCCAACATCCAAAAGATGACAACAAATGCTGGTGAGGATGCAAAGAAAGGGGAACCCTCCTACACTGCTGGTGGGAATGTAAACTAGTTCAACCATTGTGGAAAGCACTATGGAGGTTCCTCAAAAAACTAAAAATACAAGTACCATTTGACCCTGGTATTCCACTCCTAGGAATTTACCCAAAAAATACACGTTTTCAGATTAAAAAAGACATATGCACCCCTTATTTATTGCAGCACTATTTACAAGAGCAAAGATATGGAGGCAACTAAGTGTCCATCAGTAGATGAATGAATAAAGAAGAGGTGGTACATATATACACGGTGGAATACTATTCAACCATAAGAAGAAAACAAATCCTACCATTTGCAACAACATGGATGGAGCTGGAGGGTATTATGCTCAGTGAAATAAGCCAGGCAGAGAAAGACAAGGACCAAATGATTTCCCTCATTTGTGGAGTACAACAGCAAAGCAAAACTGAAGGAACAAAACAGCAGCCGACTCACAGACTCCAAGAAGGGACCAGCAGTTACCAAAGGGTTAGTGGTGGCAGAGGGAGGGTGGGAGGGAGGGAGAAAGGGTTTGATGAGTATTATGATGGACACACATGGTGTAGGGGGGATCATGGGGAAGACAGTGTAGCACAGAGACAAGTAATGAGTCTGTGGCATCTTACTACACTGATCGACACTGTCTGCAATGGAGTATGGTGGGGGGGACTCGATAATATGGGTGATTGTAGTAACCACATTGTTTTTCATGTGAAACCTTCATAAGAGTGAATATCAATACCTTAACAAAAAAATTTATAAAAAGAAGATAACCAGGGGGATGGTACAGCCACTTACTGAAGCAGAGGAAGTTAGAAAAAGTTGAAAGGCATTGGAACCCAGTACACAAGAGGAAGATGGGTTCTTGAGTAAGATCAGGGATAGAGGGAAAGTGAACTCATATGGGAAAGGAAGTAGCAGCATTGAGTGTGACCTGAGTTTCTGGGTCATTAATTGGGATTCTTAGTGAGTTCTTAACAAATGGCACCTAATTTCACTGTATTGAAAATGTCTTTTTCATATAAGTAGATTTTTCCCTTATCTTTTAAATTATATAAATAATAGTTATATATAAATATACAAATACTATTTGATACCATGAAAATAAATATAACACACCTGTAAGTTATAAAGCATAATAATTTAATGCACCTCCGTGAACTCTCCACTCTATCCAAATTGGACCTTTGCTAATAATTTACAGTTACTCTTGTTCTCCTTCCAAACCCCATCTTCTGGCCTCTCCCCTCCCATACCAACCCATACTCTGAATTTTGTGCTTGCTTGTCTCTTATCTTAAAAATCATATAAGTATTTTTTGGTCTAAACAATTTTTGGTTTTCTTGTATTTGAACTTTATGAAATAGCATCTGAGACTGGGCTTTATTAAACTCATCATGTTTCCAAAAAAAAAGTAGCAGTCTAGCAAAGCAGTTTGTTATGCAATATGCAAATGAAGTCAAATCACTCCAATGGTTATTATGCAATCTCACCCAGCACAGTGTTCACTGGGAGAAGTGGTGGAGGAGGTGGGGCTGATGGGGCTCCAGAAAAAGAAACAGAAATGCTTTCTAATAAAATATTTTATAATTCAGGTCAGAGTACACGAAAGAAAACTAAACAGTCTCAAGCAGTAAGAAAGTACAATGATTTGGATAGAAGAGTCATAAAACAAAAAAGGAGACAGCCATATGTAAAGCTTGTTCACATGAATATGAATTTTACTAGGTAAAAAGGCCATTAAGTTCATACTTGCATTACCTATAAGATACACCTGCTCTTGTAAGTAGCTTTTTCTCCTTTTTTGACAAAATCCCTGAGAAGCAAACAATTTTTCCCTAACAGTTTTCATTATCATACTTACTAGTAAAATGTCTATTTTAAACACTATTAAGTCTTCATTTCATTTACTAAAAAAAAAAAAAAAAAATCAAGGGACTGATTTAATGCTCTGGAAGGACTTCTTACATTTGTACATAAATGTAAAAGAATAACAGAACTTTTCCTACTTGGATCCCATTTTAAATTCATGGCATTTTACTGAAATATGTATTGAATATCATATATATAATGAAGTCACAGAACAAGCTAAAACCAGAGTTGAGATACTAGCCTACAAGGCAACAACAAAACTCACTGATACATAATTCACATTACAGACACTAATCCTTTGGCTGGAGTAGCACAATATTGATTTTCTCTTGAAATAATAAATACCATTCCTGACTAGTGTCCCACACAAGTATTTCTAAAGGTAAATGGTCAGAAAGTTATTTAATAAAGCTATTTAATATGCTTTATGTGTAAGGAGAAACAGCTGGTAAAACCCTGAGACTATGTGAAAACCAATCCAAAAATATTTTAAAATTTGTTGTTAGCATTGATTCCAGCAAATAATCATGTGAATTTAATAAATGACTTAATATAACTAAAGGAGTTCAGAACTCTATAATAAAGCTCCTAAGTACTGCCACATATTTAAATAAATCACTCAGTAACATGCCTGGTCCAATGGTTGGTGGTGAAGGTGTAGGGACAGCAATTGGAATGCCAATACTGCTGCTTCCACTGTTTTCTCGACTTCCACTTCCTCCACTACTCCCACTGCAAAGAAAAAATTGTGAAAAGAACATTTCTACAGATTTATATATACATATATATATATATGAAACAAGAGGTTTTAAAAACTTTCATACAAATTTTAACCCTAATACTTGAAGTGGTTCTTCTGTTTCATTTTATTTCTGAATCCACTGGAAACCAATATAATAGTATGACAGTAATCAGAGAACTACCAAAAGAGATCATCCTATTGAGAAATGAATGACCAATAAAATCTTGTAGTACAATCAGTCAACAGAATTTTATTTAAAATCTACCATGAACAACAGTGAACAGACATGAACTACATTGCTGTGGAGCTCATATCTGAGAATGGGAAAACATTAATAAATGGTGTGATGGATGTCACAAAAAAGAATATACAAGATGCTATGGAAATTAATAAAGAAGGTAAGCAGTTTTAGTCTGGATTAGTATGAAAACCTCCATTTCAAAGGATGGTGAAGAAGAAATGGAAAATGTCTGGAAAATCAGCAAAATGACAGAAATAGTAACAAACTTTCTGCATGGGGTATTCTAGAATACTCAATACTGTTAAACTTTAACCAATTCCCTATTCTAATTCCTACAGCTTTAGTGTCCTTTAAAGTACACAACCTCACACTATCCAGTTCTTTTCTAAATCTACATGTGTGCCCATGTATAATGCACACATATAGACTCAGGCTCCACATTATGTTTTAAAATCAACATCACAGGCTAAATAGGCAACAAACTCAATGATACAAAGATGTGCTCTGCCTAGGTAAACTTTTAATTTTTTTTTCCAGTATAATCATTGTATAATTATATTACTACATTTTAATGGAAGAAAAAGGTGTTTATGTAACAAAAATTGCTTTGATGTGAAAGCTTCTACTCCCTCAAGTCAGGTAAGCAATGCCCTCCTTTGCACCACCACTGCATCACAGACATATGCATATTTTGGGTTATGTGCCCCTTTTCTAACATGGGGGTTGGCAAATTACAGCCCGTGGGCCAAATCTGGCCAATGGTACATCCAATTTTTAAGAATGCTTTCTACATTTTAAATATTTGGGTTAAAAACTGAGAGGCATAATATTTTATGACAATATTAAAATTATATGAAATTCTGTGTATAAAATGGGAATAATGCTACTTCACAGATGTTTTATGATTAAATATTCAATTTCTATCAAGAAAAAAAATTATATGAAATTCAAATTTCTGTGCAATATGTAACATTTTACTAGAATACAACCATGCTCTTTCATTTATATGTTCATGTCCATGGCTGCTTTCATGCCATAATGACAGAGCTAAGTAACTGTAACAGAGATGCTATGGTCCACAAATCCTAAAATACTGACAATCTGGCCTTTTATTAAAAGATGTGTGGATCCCTGTTCTAACAGAATGAGTTTCTGTAAAAAAGAACTATACTGTATTAGAATATCCCAAGTATCTAACAAAGTAACTCTTAATAACTGCTTGTTGAATATGACTAAACTACTTCCACCACAGAGAAAAACAGATATAATTCAAAAAACAAACAACTTTCATCCTCATTGAACTTGACCTGATGCAGTAACTGCAGATATCAATACAATTTATTATTTACTAACACTAGCAATAAAAAGTTATCAATTAGAGAATTAAGACTTTGATGTACCCTATTTCATTGTATCCCCAAAAATGATTTTGCTAAGTTGTATCTCTAATATGCCAACTTAAAAGTGAAAGTAAAGAGAGGTTCTTTGCTCAAGTTATTAAGTAAGTCAGAAGTAAAACTCAAGATAAAACAACACATTTGTCTGGCTTTATAAAAGTACCCAAATACAGAGTGGCTACTTCTGGAGGGGGAAGAAGGTTGAGGCAATAATTAGGAAAGGACCGAAGAGGGACTTCTGGACTGCTGGTAATATTCCATTTTCTGATCTGGGTGATGGTTAGTTACATTAGCATGTTCAATTTGTGCTAATCTATTAAGTTGTATACTTAATAAAGTGTATACTTTTTCTAAATGTGTGTTATCCTCCATAACCAAGTTTTTAAAAATCCACTGGGTAGTTGCTAAACCTTTTTAAAAAACAATTTATACAATAACACATTCCAGCATATCAACTCTCTCAAGAATTCTTCCTCACATTTAAGCTGTCTTTCCTCTGACCGCTTAAAGTTTAAGTCTTGTTCTGTAATTTCAAATTAAATTTTTAAATCTTATGATATTAACCTTTTATACAAAAATCTTCTGGATTTTGATGTTTTTAAAAAAGACTTCCAAAAAATATTCTTTAGGCTTTATCCAAATACAAATGTGCCCATCAAAGAAATAATTAACAATCTGCTAACAGCATAATCACCTATTAAAAAATCTAAAAAACAGAAGTTATGACACAAACTTCCAGGAACATACACATTATTATTTCTCTTGGCAATTACATTCTATACTAGTATTAGGGTAGAACTGCATTCAGCAGCTTCACATAAGACTGCCCCAGTCAGAACATCCCTTTCTGACACTCAAAGGCTTAATCTCCAGGCTTACCTGTGTGTCCTCGGTCTCTGATTTAAAGAAGCTGTCCTGCCTGGACTATGCTGACTTCCAAGCCTAGCAGGACTTGTCATGTAGTCATTAGGAACTGTTGGGGGTTTAACAGGTTCCAGGGTTTTGTAAGGAGTATTCCGTCTAAACAAGTTTAGTAAGAGAAGAAAGAAAAAGTAAGAAAAATTAAATAAAATTTCCCCACAAATTTGTGATTGTCTCTTTGTAACCAAGTATAACACAAGTTTTTAAAAGAAAAGTTTTAAAAATAAATTTTTTAAAATATTCTTAATTGGGGTATATCATTTTTGTTACTGTAACACAATAACTAAAATTCATTAGCCTTTTCTTAGAAAAACCATAGGAAAGGGTAATTTTAAAGTTCTAACCTTATTTCTAAAAATAGGTTATAATTTTTTAAGTGCTTGATACTACCAAACTTTGAAATATACATTATTCCTATAACTCAATCACCCATAAGCCTCTGTCTTTATAAGTCATGGAATCTAAATGTCTCCTCTGCAATTTATTCCTACTTCAATATGGAAATAAATGGACAAGTATATACTGATCCTAGATGTAATGCCTTTAGTTTCTCAATAAATGATTTTAACTTGTTAACTTTCTATTTAATAACTTCATAGATTTTTTTTCAGGGGCAAGGGTTTTACAGAATGAAAATGGAAACTAAGATTCTCTAAAAATGTTGTGTTGATCCCTATTACTATAGAATATGATTTGCTACCCCTCCACCAAAAATAAGGTATGTATGATTTCCTATGTTAAGGTGAGCAATCTTCCAGAAATGCCTTACCCCATTATTCAGTATTTTTTACTGCATTGAGAAGTGACAAGGAAGAAGCCAACAACTTATCTTTTCTATTTCTTTAACTAGCCTTTCCACAAAGCTCAAGCATGAAGGGTCCTAAGGTTTCAGCAGAAGCACAGTTACAAGTAGTCTAGATGAAGAGTTCCAAAGTCTCAAGTGCCAAGTAACATGGCTACCACGCTGAACTATACAAAACAGACCACTTACTCAAAGTTCTGTATTATAAATATGATAAATACATATGAAGGCACTGTATGGGATCCTCTGGTCATTTCATTTGAAATAAACTTAGATTTACATATTTTCTTAAATGGATTTGAAGATTAAAAAACGGCTCATTTACACATAAATGAAAGAACTTTTCCAGTAAAGACTTCTAGAGAAAATAATATAAAATAGGCATATTCATTTTCGATTCTATTCAAGGAATTAAGAACCAAAATGGATTTGTAAGAAGTAGACTAGATCATATTAAAAGTTTCCCAAGAAGGGTCCATACATTTACTGAAGTCACAGAAACAGCTTTTCTTTAGCACAGGAATTTTCCTGTACAATGTAGTTGAATTCTTACCCCAACGTTCCCCGGCCTGACATGGGAGGACTTGGTGGTTTCTGAGTAGGAGGATTTGTTCTCGACAGCGTGCCAGTTCTTGCAGGCTGGTTATTTCCATGCTAAAATGTGGAAAGAAAAGCTTTTATTTTTGCATCAAATTGTTCTCTTGGTGTTTTGACACCCTGTATTATTTTTTTAAATATCAGAATATGAAGTAAGGATTCCCAGACAGTTTTAATAACAGACTTTGGTACTACATTTGAAAAAGTCAAGAAACCATTGTACTTGGCTTTCCTAGTTTGTGCTATTCTTATCAAATTATAGTGAAAAACAGGTGACATTATTGGATTTTATACATTATTTTATTGTTAAACATATTAACCAAAATCAAACTTATCTGCATTCAAATAAATATGGGGTTTCCCCCAAATTTTTTAATGTGTACATGAATATAAACTACAGATCTCAGTGTCAATTTGCTAAGATATTCAACTGAAAAATTGCCTTTATCCTAGTAATTCAGTAACAAAGTCATGTATGATGTCTGGAAAACCTAATTATAAGTCAATAAAAGCAAGGCAACTATCAAAAGATAAGCGAAGCAATAAATGTTAGCAAAATTAATGTTCCTATATAAATGCAGATGTCAATATATCTTTGATATATTAACATATTCAAGCTAAATGTTGCTGATTTGAACTGAGTTTGAGTAAATTTAATCTACATAAATCCTATGGGGGAAAAGCAGACAGACAGAGGAAAAGTTTTCAATATTTTAGTGGCTCTGCAGCCTCTATCAATATAGAGGGAATACTGTGGATCAAATGATAAGTAACATTTCTTACCTTGGCTTTTAGCCACTTTACGATGGCAAAAAAAGGGGGGAAAAAGTAGAAATTAATTCTAAATTAAGTTACATCTGATAGGACAGGTTTACATTTACAGTTATTCAATTCATGTTAATAAGCTTCTTACCCAGCCATATTTCAAATATTTTGTAAAGAAAAAGATAGCCATAACAGTAGGGAAATATTCATGTGTTATCACATATTTTTAAAAGTATTTTTTTAAAACTATGTTATCACATATTTTTATGAATATATCCATAAAGATACCACCACTTAATTACGCTAATCTTATGCAGGTCCAAAAATTTCTTAGGTCAGCACTTTATCCTATGGAACTAACCTCACAGATGATAAACAAACTTTGATTTAAACATAAGGCTACTTTAATATATCAGTATACAAGACCTAATGCTTTACTGAAATAAGAGCATTCCCTAATGAATGGTAGTATATAGTACTTCAAAAAGTGATAAACTGCAAATGCTAAAATTAAAAATCACAGGTTGCTACCAAATTCAGAAAATGACCTAGCACCTCAGTGTTTGACAACAAAATCACAATGAACAGTAATAGCTTAGTCAGATTGTAAATAAGGAACAAACAAGCAGGGTATGGAAACCTACTTGTAACTTAATGAATTCAAATCTGAGCAGGCCAAGACTACTATGAAGATACATGTTGCTTTATTGCTAAGTTTTCTTCTAAAGCAGTTCACCAAAATGCAAAACTGAGAAAGCTGTTTTAATCCTAAAGGCTACTTCTGTGAAAGGTAACATCCTATATATGAAATATGTACATAGGAAATAATATGAACATTTGCACATATGAATAATGTGAAATAATGTGTACAGTCCTAATGCACCACTACTTGTATAAGAAAAAATATCTTCAGGCTGTACAATCTGCTTTTGTATAGACTTTTGGGAGATTTCAAGTTCTTTTCATAAAATCTCTATTTCTAAATATATATTTTCAGGTGACCATGAAGGCAAAATTATGACATCCAGAGAAGGAATGTACAGTTGGCCCTTGAACAACATGGTTGAACACTTAAACGCATTTTTTCAATAAATATATCAGAAAACTTTTTAGAGATTTATGACATTTTGAAAAAAACATTCTGTTCTCCATCTTACTTTACTGTAAGAATACAATAATATAATACATAGATACACACAAAATATGTGTTAAACTACTGTTTATGTCATCAGTAGGGCTTCCTTCTGGTCCACAGTAGGCTATCAGGAGTTACGTTTTTGGGGAGCCAAGTTATATGCAGATTTTTAACTGCATAGGGGATTGGCACCCCTAACCCCTACATTGTTCAAGGGTCAACTGTACTTTGTCTTAGATATATTCTCATTTCTAGAACCTGTGCCAGTATTTTAGTATTCTTTAATGTTTGTTTAGAATGATACTGCTCATGTTTGCCTAGAAAGAACTTCTGGAATTCTACTAGCTGCTACATTTCACACGTGAATTAAGAAATTAAACTTTAATAACATTATTACCCTTGAAGATGTACTGATGTAGTAATTGCATTACAACGCACAAAATACTAACTTAGAAATATTCTAAACAGGCCTATACATCTTCGCTCATTTGTTGATTCAAATGAACAAATGAAAAAATTACTTCCTTATTTATAATCTAGCATTCAAGTATAACCTGGTTTTAAATGAAAGAATGAAAAGAGAATTTGAGAATGAAAATTTTGGCCGAACTCTGCCATTATGCAATGGTACATAAGCTCAGCCTCCTCTATTAAGTGTGTATGCGTATACATATTAGGGTTGAGGAGCATTAGAAGGAAATAATCTCTATTATTTTACAGCTTAAAATAGTACAATTGTTAGCAACATACAAAATTTTTCCACTTATGTTCCCAAAATTACACTTTTTATTTCCTTAAGATGTCACTTCATTTCCTTGACATTCATATTTATGGACAAGCTCCTTTACCATTTCCTTGGAATCTTAGGTTGAAAACAACAGAATTCTCTTTTATTCCTTGCTATCTTCTGGCCCTCAATAAATCATAAGCTTTGCATACCACAGATTCTACCAGTCCATAAGTCAATCCTTTCTTTGATATGACTGATTAGCTTATTCCTCTGTTTAATAAAATTGGAACCTTTAAAAATATCATTCCTTTGTACATATTTTGAAGCTTCAGTGTGTCCACTAACGTAATGTAAAAACTTGTAAATCACATGGTCTTTTCAAGGCTTAAAAACAAACACCTATATGGATAATCCTTGGAAAATTATAAACCAGGCTATAAGGCTGTTAGTTTTTATTACTGTTTATCAAAAAATAAATTTAAATGTCTCTGCTAAGTATTCAGGCCTTCTCTATTCTAGCTTACTTACACACCTTGTGCTCCCTTATAAGGTTCATTCTCCTTTATGCATACATACTCTGGTAGTTTATCTACGCTAGGATTCCATTATCTATACCTTACACATTGTTTCCAAAAGTCAAATCAGATCTACCTTTAGATTTTTGTTCCATATTTTTAATTCCTAAACTGATGTGTGCCATCTATTTCACAGCATAAAAGGCATTAATATTGTAAGCATTATTTAAATTAAACAGTACAAATGCCAAGTGCCAAAACACTAAAATTTGTATCACAAAAGAAGAAAACATGATGGAATATTAATCTAAATATAGAAACCTTAACATAAAACTTAGTAAATATAAGAAGAAATATTAATATATTTAGATACATTTTTTTTAAATCTGTCTTTTTAAAATACCAAAACACCAAAGTCAAAGCCTAACACCCATATGAATATCTGCCAATATATAAAGAGCTAATTTCTTTAACAAAAAAGGAATTCTTATAAATTAGTAGAAAACAAACTTCTAAATACAAAAGTAGTCAAAAGATAAAATAATTCTAGAACTGTAAATAAGTATAGTGTCACCCTATATGTAAAACACTGATTTTAAAATAAATTAAAATTTTTCCTTCTCATAATTGTGGCCCTGGCATTTGTTCTTTAACTGGTAACCCAATTTCTAACCTTCACAGATCTCTACAGTTCTCTAGAAATTTTAATTAAGTCAGCAATGATCTTTTAGAGAAATGAGAAAACTAGAGAAATAAATCAGCAATAAGACTGACTACTGGGTAAAAAATGTGTGTGTTTGTGTATGACAGAAACAAAATATGAACAAATATGCCACATATCAGCTTCTAAGATATTGTTCTCACAGACCACCCATTCTCCTACCCCTACTCACAAATATATTTTAAAATAGCCTGTACAACAACATGAATGGTCTTAATGCCACAGAACTGTACTTTAAAATGGTTAAATGGTAAATTTTACCTTAGGCATATTTTACCACAAATAAGTTTAATACCTATGTCTAAAATAACCATATTACAAAAAGCACATTGCCAAAATTTACATCTGTGTACTTCTCGTGTATATTATGCTACATTTACATCTTGCATGTGTGTATATATATATGATGAAACGGTTGAATTTTCTCATCCAAAATTTCCTTTAAATTTAGTTTCGTTGTACTCTGCTAAGTACCATGTAAGTGTTATACTAAGTACTATGTGTTTTAACTGTTAAATACTATTATTAGTGGAGGAATAATACAGGATATTCACTTAGCAGATAGTAATTTTTTTTATGAGAGTGTTTTTGCTTTGGAAGGAAGATAAATCAAGATTAGGTAAAAGGGGAAGAAGTGAGTGTGGGTGAGCCTGAGTATGTGTGTGCATATATATGTACAGTTCTGTGGCACTAAGACCATTCATGTTGTTGTATATATATATATATTTTATCCCCAATGAGGTAATAATACAAAAGTAGTTCCTCCAGACTCTAAGGATTCAAATCCTGTATATCAATCTAGTCTAAAATATCTGAAATTAAAATGGTATTTAAGCTCTTATACAAGCCTAGCCTCATCCTTGGGCAAGTAACAAGAAATAAACAAATCACCTCTTCTACATTTGCAAAGTGTCACAACTTTACATATAACTTCCAAGTGAAGGGTACAACATAATAGTGAAGGGCAGATTCCAATAGTCCCACAGAAGAGTAGAATAAAGATGAGTGTTGTCTGCTATATTCTCTTCTTGAATAAGAACCCCAGATAATTCAGAATGCAACATATCCAGCAATAGCTCCAGTCAGATGAACCCATTAGGAAAAGCTTCAACACTCTGACTCCTAAAAAATTTTTATGAGTATCTGAAGAACAGAAACAAAATCAAATAATGGTCCTCTAGGAAAGGGACTATTAAATTTCAGAGGAACAGTTTATCCTGAGTAGAGACAGAGAGAGAATTCAGGTCATTCCAGATGTTTGCAAAATAACCCACAGGTACCTAAAAAGTTGACAGGCTACAGGTATCCATAAAGAGCAGCTAATTCTGCCATGCTAAGAAACAGACATAGGCAACAGATAATCTTTTTCTTAAAAGTCTGTTGGAGAGGTGAGGCTCAGAACCTCACCCCCCTGCTTTGAGAGAAATCTTCTGCATCCGTGGATGTTTTGCTGCCCTTGTCTAGCCTGGATTAATACTTAGTCCATAGGCACACACCTGATCATCTGATCATCTACATTTGCCCTCTTACAGCACTAAACTATGTTTTCTACCTTTATCTTGCATCTACCTACCACTTCAGCATTTTATTAAAAATAAAAATAATAATAATAATAGGAGAAATGTGGGATCAACATATAAATCAAGTACAAAAATCAAACGAATATTCATATTTGACCTGATTGTTTATAGGTCATAATGCGTGATCAAAACCGAAAGTTTCTGTGATGAATGCCCTTGTACTGTTCACCATGTAAGAATTTATTCACTATGTAAGAATTCGTTCACCATGTAAGAACTTGTTCGTTATGCTTCAGAAGATTGGAGACTGACGAGAATTAGACTTGAGATGGATTAATGATTGTACATTGAGCATTGACCCCCCTATACTGAATTTTATTGTTGTTAACAACCATTTGATCAATAAATATGAGAGATGCCCTGTCAAAAAAAAAAAAAGTCTGTTGGAGTGGTAGTGGTACACACAACAAAATTATGCACAATTTTTATTTTTTACAGATTGCTGGAATTACATCCACATCCACACAGATGCAGTACTGTGTATACATATTTAGGAATAAAAGGTTTAAAGTAATTGGGTAGGGGTACAGGTACAGGGAAGTTGGCCATGATTGGCTGACAGTGGGTGATGGGTGATGAGGGCTCAACAGAATACTCTCAGCTTTTGTGTATGTGGTCGAGGCTTCCCATAATAAAGTTATTTTTACCTCAAAAAAAAAAAGATTTAAAGTATTTATAAATTACTTTCTGAATCAAACCTGGAAAGCACATAGTTTTTATTTTTAAATATTCATTCAGTACTATAACGTACGGGGGGGGGGGGGCACAGGGAAGGTAGTATAGCACAGACAAACAAGTAGTAGTAACTCTATAGCATCTTACTATGCTGATGGACAGTGAGTATAATGGGGTATGTGGTGGAGACTTGATAATGGGGGGACTCTAGTAACCATAATCTTGCTCATGTGATTGTATATTAAGGATACCAAAATTTTAAAAAAATCATTCAGTGCTGAAAAGCAAGACCTGGTATTCATAATACACATTTGTGTTAGTCCAGTACTCAAATGGCTAAATGAATAGACACTTTAAGTTTCATTATCTTCTAGAATATAGCCTATACCACTGGTAAAATTCTGTCCCAAGCTTACTATAATACATAACTGATATTAATAAATATTCTATGAAAATTGTAATGCTAATTACTAGCTGAGAATCTAATTCTTTTCAAAAATAATCTTTACCACCATATATCCTATCCAAAATATTTATTGGATAAATTATTTCAAGTTAATATAATAAAAAAATGCTTACCTTGACACCATGGCCCACATCATCCAGAACTGTATAGTCAATAGGTTTCCGAATATACCTTACAGGGCGCTCCATATTTGCAGGTGCTATTATTTTGTGAGTTCTTGATGTATTCTTATTTGTTGTCAAAATACCAATCTCTCTTCGAGCCACTTTCTCTTTATGAATGTCCACGGTCTACATTTCAAATTTGAACAAAGCAAGAAAGTATTATTAGGCATAGTAAGTAATATATATATTATATTGTTTCCAAGTATATATATTAGACCATATACAGGTTGGACCATAAGGCTGGATCACGTCTTTTTTCCAGTAGATATGCCTTTCCCTTCAAAATTCAGCATATTAATATCCTCAAGGCTTAAAACAGGGAATATCTAAAGATGATTAAGAGCACCAAATAACTTTAATGGATATGATTCTAAAACGATTCTCAGGAAAGCAAGTTTCTTTCCTGAAGACTTGGTATGTGTGGAAAGGAAAGGAGTTCCTGTTCTAAGTAGCTTACAGTTTATTTAGTGGAGATGCAGACCAGAAAAAAAAACAGTAATTACAACACAATGAGGTTTAAGTGCTGTTGTGACACATGCACAGTTTATATGAAATTACTCTAAAGGTGTTCAGAGCAAGAGGTTGAGACGGGTTCATTTTAAGTCTTTACAGAGTAGGTAGCTTTTTAAGGATGAGTAGAAGAGGCAAATAGTGAAATTATTCAAGGCAGAAAGAACTGCATGTTGCAGACAAAGTTATACAAGAAAAGGTGATAAAGCACAGGCTACAAACTGGCAGCATGCAGCCTACCTAATGTGGCCTTTATGGCTTAAAAAATTTTTTTTGTTTGTTTAATTGCCAACATTTAAAAACTAGATTGTAGTCAGTACATGAGAAATAATTATACAACTGCTGAACAATTTAAACTTTGTCCTAATGGTAATGGGGAACGAGTGACAAATTTACACTGACTGATAACATTAGATCTGCATTTTAATAGTTCCCTCTCCCAGAGGTGTTGAGGACAGAACAAAACCACTGGCAATAAGAGCAGTTAGGAAGCAGTTATGGTAGTCTAAGTGAAGAAAGTAAGGATGTGAACTAACTTAAGCAAGGTGTGTTGTCAAGAAAAAAGAACAAAATTAATGTTATATTTAAAACTGTCTTTCACCAGAATTGTAAAAACTGACTGGGAAAGAACCTGTAATCAAGTATGTCCTCCCAACTTCAAAACAAGGTAAAGGAAAACAACTGTCCTGGGTGTCTTGCAACAAAAGGCACTGACTCCCTTTATTCTCGATATTTATATTATGGTAAATGGCCTTAGAACATATAGTGTCTTTTTGGAGGGCAAAAGGCAGGTTTGTTTATTGCCCAGTATAATAGCCATAATGTCAGACCCAGGGCAAAGGTTAGGAAGGTTTATTACCCATTATAGAAGATCTGGTGTCCTCAGCAGGGAGTTCTGTACCCAACTCTGTCTACAGGCATCACCTGGCTCTCTTTGCAGTATCTTGTGGAAATGGGGGTAGTCATCTGGCACAAATGCTTACACTCTGGTTAGTGCTCTTGCCATATATAATGATCTCCTTTTCTGATCCAAGAATCTCATGTCTTCTAATTTTATCGATGAAATTATGGCAGGCTAGCTTATTAGCTTGCATGAAGGGTAAAATCTCAAACATTTCAAAATGTTTGACAACTTTGCAATGAGGATGGAATGGTGACAGAAACAAAGCTTTCCAGAAATGGAATGAAAGTCCAGTTGATTGGAACTGAGAGAAATCCATGGATATCATGAATGAACATGTTGACGAAACTGTATGGTCGACTAGGCAATGAATGGGTCCTCCACTTTAGTGCCTGTTAATGAAGCTGAATTGAGGTCACTTCAGGCTAAGTAGGTTCAAAGATAGTAACATGAATGGTGCCCCAGTACTGTCAACTATTCACCAAGCTGTCAGCTTCAGTACAATTAGTACTAAGATTTGTCTGGTAGAGTGAAGGGCAAGAACACGAGGTTCTGTCCAAGGTTACAGAGAAAAATGTCTACAATGGGAAAAAAAACCCTAAACCACTGTGGTCAGAACGAGGAGACTCTTTAGAACTTTGGCTGGTGTGCTCAGATGTGGGGGTGGAGCACATAATAGTTGTTACAGCGGGTGCAACCCTCCAGCAGTCTGTCTGGCAACATTCAATCTACTGGAGATAAGTAAAAGGCCTCAGCATTTTTTGGCATTGGGTATTCCCTACTGTAAGAGACCTTTGGCACCCTTGGGGAAACCACACTTAGACAAACTCCCCCAGCACTGACTAGTCTTCAGGCTCTTACTGTACTGTTAGCCCTGCCAGCCTTGGAGAGCTCTCCTAGACCTTATTTTGAAATCTTGACAATGTAGCCTGCATTAGGTAGACTCCTAAAAACAATGATGCTGCTATGCAGATCATTAAAGAGTATAAACCCATGGCCCCCACCGTGGCTGTAGCTGCTGAATCAAAGTGTTCCCAAATAAACAGATGGCATCAGTAATGACAATCTACACACAGAATAGAGAGTTTGGAGGTAAACCCAAAATACCACAGATTTATCTGGGTGATCAATGGCAACAGCACTGAAAACTGAAAGTAAATGTACCTTGTTTACTCATTCCCAAGGGGGAATCAAGACTAAATATACCTGGGGGTATGCTAGCTCACTCTTGGTTAAGAGGATGCAAAAAGTGTATGGCTCGGTTAGATACAGAGCCCATGTCACCTTCACACACATCTGTGGAGGGAGAGGGTACCTCCTTTCAATTACAGAAATCTGGGTAGCATTCACAGTGGGGAAGAGAAACTACCATGTCCTTTGAGATGGGGCTCTCTGCACTGCTTCAATTTTTATTACTGTTGTGGCTTCCACCACTGAATGTAAAATTGGTACTGACACTTTACATGTCTGTACTGTGGACGCTCCTAAATGCCAGGGTGGACTATTCCAACTTGGAGGAGCCCATGCAAAAAAGGATTGGTAGCTTCAGCACTTCACAATCCTTATTACCCCTTTGAGTACAAGTCTCTGTGCAAGGATAATTTCATAGTCTGTAGCCTCCGGCAAGAAGAGCAGCCTCCACTAGAGGCATCCCCAGTGTATGGATTCAATGCCTTCCTGACACAGCCATCAGGTTACCCACCTCTTGAAAAGTTTCCCATTTGGGAATGGGTCAACTCAAACTCAGTAACTAACAGAGTAGAAGGGACCTAACAAGCCTCTCTTACCACATGGAAATGGTTTATCCAAAAATGCAGCCAGACTGGCCCTTATGGCATCCCAGCCTTACATGAAAGAGTGGCAGCTACCCCTTTGAGAAATTTTATCCTCCATTCTATTACCCAAACCAAAGCTGCTGACTCAGTGAAGCCCTGGATTCACAGAAGATCCCCTAAATGTCTGAGCCCAGTTCAATAATAATTCAACTAAGCTGAAACCCTATGGCATCCAGTGGGCTGCCAAGCTGTTCCACCTCAGTGCCAGCTACACAGGATTGCAAGTGGGTGTGGCTGTTTTGTTCTGTGGGCAGAACTCAAGGATGAATTATCCCCTTAATAAGCCTTTTTATATTTTTACTGATGTGGGCTGTTACTGATGACCTAGGTGTTTGGTCTGTCACTTGAGAACCTACAGACTAACATTAAAGGCTGTCCACACACTGGAGACAAATGCAGTTTGTTGATCGTAACATCTGGGTCATTAGTGTAATGGCCCACTGCCTGATGGGACCAATTGGAATCAAGCTGCTGCTGAAGCCCACACTGTCCAGACTGCCATCACTGCTGCTGGATTCATCATCATACCAGCCATGTCAACATATGTACCGTCATGGGTCAGATACAAAGTAAAGGATCCTATGCTGCTGATGCAGAGGCAAACACTGCATCCCTCACTTGAAACTCCCACTTATCTCACAGTAAGAAAAAGACCCATTTACCTCACAGTGAGCAAGGCCATATTACCCGCTACTGGCAAATTGGCTACATTGGGCCTGTGACCCTCCCCCTCCTCTTGAGATTATCAGTGGTGCCTTACTGCTGATGGCCCTTTCAGGTTATGGTATTGCTATTCACTAGTTCAATCAGCTGACAACAGCCACACCACTGTTACCCTTGACAGCAATCTGTATCATGGTTTTCACTTTCCAAACCATTTGCAGTCTGATGATGGCACGCTTTTATCCCGAAAGGCATTAACAATGGACTGCAGTTAGTCAAGGTGCTTGATGACCTCCCACAGTCCCTACCATCCACAAGGATCTTGCATTGCTGAGTACTGCAAATGCCACCTCAAAAATCAACTCAAAAATTCAAAAACAAAAAACAACCAGGGTCAAAAAAGGACAAAAGTTCTGAAAATCAAAACCACAATGAGATATCATACCCATTAGGATGGCTACTACTACTTATAAATTGCTGGTGGTAATATAAAATGGTACAGTTGCTGAAGAAAACAGTATAGTGGTTCCTCACAAAATTAAAAAGAATTAGCATATAACTGCAATTCCACTGCTCGGTATGTACCCAAAAGAACTGAAAGCAGGACCACCAAGAGATATCTGAACACTCATGTTGATGGCAGCAATATGCCCAAGAGCCAAAAGGAGGAACTTACCCAAGTGCTTACCGGTGGAAGAACACATAAACAAAATATGGCACATACATACAATGGGATATTATTCAGACACACTGAAATGACTGCCTTCAGGTAATCCCACCAAAAACAAGCACTAGACTCAATTAATTGTACTGAACTGGGAGCCCTAAGGCTGGCCAGCTGTCCAGGAGGCAGCACTGAAGAAATGTCTGCCTGTACTCCCTGACTTAATCAAATCGGTGCTACCTGGGAAGAGGTGGACAAGAGCTGTAAACACCACATTCTTCATAGGAGTACTTGTGCAGCATTAGCTTACCTCCCTCCAGAAAATGTGATGAATTACACCTAAGGAGTGGTCACAAGGGACCGTCTTAAGCAAGCACAAGCAGATCATGTAGCACACAGACAACTGTAATCTCTTCTAAGTAAGACTATTCATCCCACATCATCCCCAGTCTTCATGGGAAAATGAAATTCTAGATAGCTTAAGTTCTTTCTGTATTTTTCTTAAACATCATGGTGTCCCAACTCTCCTTAAAAATCATGTTTTTTCACCCTT